CAATAAATCAAAAAATCAGCCGGGTGGGGGTAGCGCATGCCTGTAATTCCGGCTACTTGGAAGGCTGAGGCAGAAGGATCACTGGAGCCCAGCAGGTCGAGGCTGCACTCCAATCTGGGTGACGGAGTGAGACTCCAACTAAAAAAAAAAAAAAAAAATCCCAGCACTTTGGGAGTCCAAGGCGAGAGGTTTGCCTGAGCTCATGGGTTTGAGACGAGCCTGGGCAACTTGATGAGACCTTGTCTCTACACTAAGTCAAAAAATTAGCCAGGCGTGGTGGCTCATGCCTTAGTTCCAGGTACTTGGAAGGCTGAGGCAGTAGGATTGCCTGAGCCCAGCAGGTCGAGGCTGCGGTGGTCATGAGTGTGACACTGAATTCCAGCCTGGGCAACAGAGTGAGACTTCAACTCAAAAAAAACAACAACAAAAAATTTATCTTCCCCCAGCATTCTGAGAGCTGAGGAATGGAGGGAGGACTTTGGAACCCCACCTCACATTCAGGCCTCCAGCCATGGATGCATGTATGAGTCTGTCTTACACTGTCATCCCCTAGGAAGGTCCGGAAGAAAACAGTGCCTACGAACAGTTGCTGTCACATTTGGAAGAAATCACTGAGGAAGGTCAGTTTGTTGGTTTGGCACTACCCTTGATACCCTAGTTCATAAAGAATTGCCCTTGGGAGCACCAGATCTGAGGCTGGAGATGGCTTCCTCCTGTGCGAGAGGGGATTGAGGTGAGACCTGGCTCTCATCTTGGTAATAACTGAAGTTGACATAGGCAAACAGTCACTTGTAAACTGCTGCCCACAGGCTTTAAAGTTAAAAACCAAGCAAAAAACAAAATTAGGCAAAAAAAAAACAAAAAACGGTTTTCAGAACTTTAAGGTCAAATCTGGAGAGCTTAACTTTTTCTAAGAACTGTCTATTTCTCTTTCATAAGCATCAAATATTTTAACTTTATAAATACTTTTGAGCCGGGCTCGGTAGGTCAACCTGTAATCCCGTGTCTTTGGGAGGCTGAGGTGAGTGGATTGCCTGAGCCCGCGGGTTCAAGACCTGCCTGGGCAACTTGGTGAGACCCCCATCTCTGCAATAAATCAAAAAATTAGCCGGGCGTGGCAGCACATGCCTGTAGTTCCAGCTACCTGGAAGGCTGAGGCGGAAGGATCGCCGGAGCCCAGTGGGTCGAGGCTGCGGTGGCCGGGATTGGCCACTGCACTCCAGTCTGGGCGACGGAGTGAAACTCCAGCTCAAAAAATAAATAAATACTTTTGTTGGAAATCTTCTTTCTCTTCTCAGCACTCTAGATCTTTTTTTTTTTTAAAGCAGGATTTATTGAGAGGACAGAAAAGCTCCCAGAGCAGGAGGGGACCCGAGGGGGTTGCCTACTATGGATCTTAAAAAAAATTTTTTTTTGAGTTAGAGTCTCACTGTGTTGCCCAGGCTGGAATGCAGTGGCACACTAACGGCTACTACAGCCTCAACCTGCTGGGCTCAGGCAATCCTTCCGCCTCAGCCACCATGCCTGACTAATTTATTTGTAGAGATGAGGTCTCACCAAGTTGCCCAGGCTGGCCTCGAACGCCTGGGCTCACGCAGTCCTCTCGCCTTGGCCTCCCAGAGTGCTAAGATTATAGATGTGAGCCACTGCGCCCAGGCTCTGGGTCATTTTATTTGCTTTTATTTTTATTTTTGAGTTGGAGTCTCTGTCGCAAAAGGCTGGAGTGCAGTGGCATGCTCATGGCCTCTGCAGCCTTGACCTGCTGGGCTCAGGCGATCCTTCCACCTCAGTCTTTCAAGTAGCTGAAACTACAGGCATATACCACCATGCCCAGCTAATTTTTCTTGATTTATTGTAGAAATGAGGTCTTGCCAAGTTGCCCAGGCTAGTCTTGAACTCTTAGACTCAGGCAATCCTCTCATCTCGGCCTCCCAAAGTGCTAGGATTACAGGCATGAGCCACTGCACACATCTAGTCCTTTACTTTCTTTTATGTCTTACGGGAAGGGACCACACTTAGTGAAGAAGTGGAGTTGACTTTGGGAGGTGAAACTGTATCCCTATACCCTGAAGCTTCAAGGGGGCAAATATAGGTGAGACCCCAACGCAGGCCCTCTCCACAGGCTCAGAGACTTGGGTCCCCGGACTAGACATATCTGCACTGCTGCCCGCTGATCTCAGCCACTACTTCCGATACGAGGGCTCTCTGACCACACCGCCCTGTGCCCAGGGGGTCATCTGGACTGTGTTCAACCAGACAGTGAGGCTGAGTGCTAAGCAGGTGGGGCTGGGGCGTGGTATTGACATGGGGTGGAGGGAGGGGTATAGGGATATAGGATGAGATGAGAAAGAGGAGAATGAAGAAATCAAGGAGCTGGGGTGGGAGAGGCAGGGGCTGGAGCCCTGAGGTGCTGGCTCTGAGTCAGCCTGGGACCCTTATTTTCTTTCATGCTGAGCCCACCTGCACTGTCTACTGACCTCCCTAGCTCCACACTCTCTCTGACTCCCTGTGGGGACCTGGTGACTCTCGGCTACAGCAGAACTTTCGAGCAACGCAGCCTTTGAATGGGCGAATGATTGAGGCCTCCTTCCCTGTGGAAGTGGACAGCAGTCCTAGGACCGCTGAGCCAGGTGCAGCTTTGTCTGGTATCCTCCCTGCCACAGGTCCCTTGTCCTCCCATGTGTCCTCATTTGTGCTAGTGTCTGTCGCTGGTGGTCATAGTCCAAGCTCTAACGTCCCCTTTTTCTCTCTAGTCCACCTGAATTCCTGCCTTGCTGCTGGTGAGTCTGTGCCCCCCCTCCCACACCCTCCCATGCTGGGAGACACTCTCAGCACCGCTCAGCCCTGGAGCTAGTTAGGGCCACTCCTTTTCTGCTGCTCCTTGTTCAAAAGAACAGCCAGCCAATCCCAATACTGCAGAGTCAGATCATGGTGGGGGATTCCCCCATTGTCCCCAGGCCTTAGTTGATTGGAATGATGCTTCAGAAATCCCTCTCCCCAAACAACACTTAGCTTTTTTTTTTTGAGTTGGAGTCTCACTCTGTCGCTCAGACTGCAGTGCAGTGGCCGTTTACGGCCACTGCAACCTTGACCTGCTGGGCTCTGGTGATCCTTCCGTCTCAGCCTTCCGAGTAGCCAGAATTACAGGCATGCGCTACCACGCCCGGCTAATTTTTGATTTATTGTAGAGATGAGGCCTCGCTGCCCAGGCGGGTCTCAAACCTGTGGGCTCAGGCAATCCACTCACCTCAGCCTCTCAAAGCACGGGATTACAGGCTGAGCCCCGAGCCCGGCTGACACTTAGCTTTTAAATTTATTTTTTATAAGCCCAAAGCTTACATCATATTACTTAGCTTTGGTTTTTGAGTCGGGAGTCTCACTTTGTCACCCAGGTTGGGGTGCAATGGCATGTTCACAGCTATAGCTACCGCAGCCTCAAACCGCTGGGCTCAGGTGATCCTTCCACCTCAACCTTCCAAGTAGCTGGAGCTACAGGCGTGTGCCACCATACCCGGCTAGTTTTTTGATTATTGTAGAGATGAGGTCACGCCAAATAGCCCAGGCTGGTCTCAAACCCCAGCAGTCCTCTTGCCTCCGCCTCCCAAAGTGCTGGGATTATAGGCATGAGACACCCGTGCCTGGCTACTTAGCTTTTAGGAAGGGAAATTGGTACTTATATTACTCCCTTTGCAAGTATCCACTCCCACCCCTTTGGTGGCCTTTTCTGGAGACTGAGGCACTGGGGTCTGCCTAAGAACTCAGGGTGAGGGGCGCAGTACACTGGGCAGGCCTTTGAAGGAACTCTGCCCTCTCCTCTCCCCCTCCCAGGTGACATCCTGGCCCTGGTCTTTGGCCTTCTCTTTGCTATCACCGGCGTCGCTTTCCTCGTGCAGATGAGAAGGCAGCACAGGTATTATACTGACCCCTCCTTCGGGCATAACCCCCCAGTCCCCTATGTGGAGTCCAGAACACTAAGTGTCATGCCAATTGCATGCAAATGAGCTCATCCCGGGCCAGTTTTCTGACTGGGCTTCTCTGTTGTATACACACAGAAGTGGGACCAAAGGGGTTGTTAGCTACCGCCCAGCAGAGGTCGCAGAGACTGGAGCCTAGAGACTGGGACTTGGAGAATGTGCAGAGAAGCCAGCTAGAGGAGTCTAGGGGGAGCTGGAAACTTCGTCCTGTCATCCCCATCATACCACTTCCTTTTTTAACCTCCAAATAACTTTTTAAAATAAATGTTTCTAATAAAATATGTGAAAGTCCCTTTTGTTCCCCACATCAGAAGGACGATGTATTGCTTTCCTATTGCTGCAGTAACACACTTAGTGGCAATATAGATTTACTCTCTTAAAGTTCTGGAGGTCAGTGATCCAAAATAAGTCTTATGGGCTAAAGTCAAGGTGTCAGGAGGGCTGGTTCCTTCTGGAGGCTCCCAGAGTGGAATATTTCCTTGCCTTTTTCAAATTCTAGAAGCCATTTGCCTTCTTTGGCGCCTGACCTTTCTGCATATCATCCCAACCTCATGCTTCCATTGCCACACCTTCTACTACTGCCTTTGACCTTCTTGCCTCCCTCTTATAAGAACCATCGTGGTTACTCTGGGCCTACCCAAATCACCTAGGATAATTTCCTCATCTCAAAAATCTTAGCTTAATCACAAAGTCTCTTTCCCGTGTCAGGTGACATTTCACAGGATGTGGACATCTTTGGAGGAGGGCATTCTTCTGCCTATCACAGATGTTATTAGGAAGAGGACAGAAATGCCGGAGATTGTTGGAATGGCCCTATGCGTCTTGAGGGGTAGGGTAGACTGCAGCCTCTGGGTTTGAAATCACACTGAGGCTTTTGGGTTGTCACCTTGCTCAAGGAAAATATGCGTCACTTTTTGCAGTTTTGTCTTCAGACTGAATTATCTGATCCAGCTGCCTGTTGAAATGAGGAAGTGCTGCAGAGGGCAGCTGCTTTGCTTCTCTGCCTCACACAGCCTGTTCGCAACCCCTACTCAATGAGCCCAGCGCCCCATCTCATGGCAACTACTGAAGAGAAGGTCCCATCACTGAGCAAGGACCGAGGCCCTGCTCATTCAGGGCCCCTTCCATGTCCACTGCCAACACCAAAGAAAGGCTTAAAAGGCCCTGTGATGCTGGTCATGTCAGTTTTATTGGGTTGGGGCGGCAACACAGCCTGGCCGGGGGCAGGGCCAGCCCTCACAGGTTGTTGAGTTCCAGCAGGGTCTGGTCCAGAGTCTGGTGAATCTCCACGTTCTCCTCCTTGGCACTGGCCAAGGTCTCTGTGAGGGGAAGCAGCATGTGAGGAGGGGAGAGGAGACATGAGTGGGGAGACGGACAGGGGAAGGGGACATATAGACATGGAGTAGGTTAGGGGACACTGGAAGACACAGGCATTCAGGGACCTGAGGGCTTTCTGACAGAGGCAAATGGATGGACTGACCGGACTAAAGAGAAAAGGACAGACCTGGATGCCTCACTCAAGGCCTCAGGGACATGGAGGTAGGATGAGGAGACCTGAGTCATCAACTAATTTACCTTCCTTCTTTAGAAGGTTTACAAAAGTTGGAAACAGAAGGAGAGACAAAGACAGCCAAGAAAGGGAGGGACAGAGGGACGGACAGACAGACTTGAGGCAGAAAACAGACCTGCAGTTGCAGTGAAAGCCCCATGTTGCTGATATCCAACGTTTTTCCGAACTTCACTCCAGACCTTTCACAACCTTCTTGCCCTTCCCCTGCACCTCACCACCCCACTTCCCTTCCAGTCACGCTGTTTGATCCTGAAAACCCAGCTAAGTGCTCCAAGGTCGGTGACAGGCACCAGAGGGGTCATGGTGCTTGACGGGGTCACACATGCCCATGTGTAGCAGTGAGTCAGAGAGCGACAGACTGGGAGTGCCCGTGCGGAAGGGTTTCGGTGTGGGGGAGGGGTGGGTGCCACAAGATGGAGGGGGTGTCGGTAAGAGCCAGGGTCTCAGGAGTGAACCAGTGCTCTGCGGTGGTGATGGAAGTGCTCTCTGGAGGGTAGGAAAACAGCATGGAGACAAGTTCAGAGTTTATTAAGCAGCAAAGGGGGATGGAGTTGGCAACAGATAGAAGGATGAAGCCAGCGCCTGGGGAGGTGGGTGTGCTGGGGGCTCTCCCTGGGCTGCTCCCAGCCTGGCTGTGCGATGTTGGCGGTTTTTGCTCCTCCTGCCTGCCCCCCTCCCCATAGAGAGAACGGAAAGGAGAGAAGAGAAGGGGGCTGAGATGGCCACGCTGGCGTGGGGCTCAGAGGGAGGTGATGTCGTTGAGTGCGTTGTCCAGCTCCTCGCTGATGGCCTTGTACTTCATTTTCTGTGCATAGACTTCATCTGGGGTGGCCAAGGGAAGGATACCAGGTGGGAGTGTGGGGAGAGGGAATGGAGGGAAAGAGGAAAGGAAGGAGAGAGGGTCATGGAAAGAGAGAAAAAGAATCAGAGAGGTGGATACAGTGGGAGAGACAGGCCAGAGAACAGGCTGGACAGCTGTCGAGAACCCTCCTCCCCGTCTCTACCTGTCTCTTTTGTCCTCCTCTGTACCCCAAACTGGCTCTCCCCCCAGGAGCTCCTGCCTCCTCAGGGACCCGTGGGCACAGTGCTCTGGACAAGCAGGCATGCTTGCTTCAGTGGGGGAGGGAGGGAGGGTGCTGGGGCTACAAAGGGCTGACGTCCTAAAGTTGGAGATAAAATTGCTGCTTGCCTGAGAAGCGAGTGGGACAGTTAAAGAGTTATCTTAGAATATAAAGGAAAGGCAACTTTAGCCACAACAGTTAATAATAGAAGCAGCCAGAGAATAACACATATCTGGATGTTTGTTTAAATGTAGCTTAAAATACTTTTTTTCCACTAATATTGCCATGCAAACCTAGATGTTAAATCAAATAGCTCTCTATTTAGTAAAGAAGTCTTTAGGACATAATGCTGATGTGCTGCACTTGGAAACAGAGTTTCCTAAATTCATGAGGTCTGAGGGCCAGCAATATCAGCATTACCAGAGAGCTGGCTAGACACACATTCTCCAGCCCAAAGTTAGCAGTCACTTTGGGGTAGGACCCAGGAGTCTGTTTCTAAAGCTCTCCAGGTTATTCTCATGCTGGTAAGTTTACTTGGACTGTAGGCACAGCCTACCAGAAATTGGGGGAGTTCATGGAGTCCTAGGTGGTCCGACCCTAGTTTATTGATGGCAGATAAAATGTGATGAGAAGGCCGGGTGTGGTGACTCACGCCTATAATCCCAGCACTTTGGAAGGCCAAGGTGAGAGAACTACCTGAGCCCATGGGTTCGAGACCTGCCTGGGCAACCTGGTGAGATCTCATCTCTACCATAAATCAAAAAATTAGCCAGGAGTGGTGGCGCACGCCTGTAGTCCCAGCTACTTGGAGGTCTGAAGGGAAAGGATCGCCTGAGCCCAGCAAGTCGAGGCTGCGGTAGCCGTGAGCATGCCATTGCACTCTAGCCTGGGCGACAGAGTAAGATTCTGGCTCAAAAAAAAAATGTGATGAGACGATAAGGGACAGACTGATAGTCATAGGGTGTGTGGACCTACTTGAAAATGTTTGGGGTGTGAGGGAGTATCCCTTTTACCTTCTAGGTCATCGATGGTTTTCTCCAGCTTTGCCACAGACCTTTCAGCGAACTCTGCTCGGGTCTCAGCCTGGGAATAAAGGCAGGATGGGAGAAATGGCAAAAGATTTGGCCCTCCCACAGACCTTGGACTGAGTCAACCTCTCTCCCATCCCAATCTCCAAATGCCCTGCCACAAGCAGTCTCTGGTGGGGATCAGGGTGGCTTGAGGGGAGCCTGGGAGTGGGGAGAGGACTCTCACCTCCTTCAGCTTCTCTTCCAGCAGTTTGATCTCCTCTTCATATTTATCCTCCTTGGTGGAATACTTGCAGGGACACACACACACCATCAGTGCATGGCCGCCACCAATCCTTCATTTCTCCGCTAAGACCCTTCAGGCTCCTCATGGTCTTGCCTCCACTGAACACCCAGTCCTCCCTGCCTGAGCCCTTCACCTCCCTCCCCTGCAGGGCCCCATCCTCACTGCCCCTCTACCACCCCTCTACCTTGTCCGCTTGGGCCTCCAGGGATTTCAAGTTGTTGGTAACAATTTTCAGCTCCTCCTCTAGGTCCCCACATTTACTGCAGGGGGTGTGTGGCAGGGTGGGGTGTGAGGGCACAGTGAGGCCAGACAGTGGAGAGGGCACAGCGGGGGAGGGGCGGGAAAGAGAAGAGAAGAGCAAAGTCGTGAGAGTGACAGCAGGCGGAGCTTGGAAGCCCTAGGTCCTTCCCGACCCCCAGCAGGTGAGCAGGAACAGCCTGAGATGCTGAGATGGAGGCGAAGGTGAGCTGAGAGGAGGCACCACTGTCCAAAAAGGTGGCGAGAGGTCACTACCTCTTCCTCTGAGGCCATCAGGGACTTGAGGGCCTGGTCCATGGTTCGAAGTTCCTCCTCTAGCTGCCGGGCTCGGCTGGGGGCAGCGGGCAGGGGTCAGAAGACAGGACCTGTCCCTGTGGCCCCAAGCCTGGAACACTGCCTCCCCGCTGTGCAGAGGACCCCACAGCTGCTGGCTCGGGCTGACTTTCACTTGCCAGCCAGGGTATCTTTACCTCTCGGCCACCTCAGCTCTCTCTTCTGAGCGTTCCAGCTCTCCTTCCAGGATCACCAGCTTCCTGGCCACCTGGGGGAAAGTGGGAGAGAGCAAGAGTGGATCAGTGGTGAATGACTGGGGGGCTGGGCTGCGGAGAGAGCAGGAAGTGGGGCAGGGCTGTCACCTCCTCATATTTGCGATCTGAGTCCTCGGCGATGTGCTTGGCCTCCTTCAGCTGCATCTCCTGCAGCTCCATCTTCTCCTCATCCTTCATGGCCCGGTTTTCAATGACCTTCATTCCTCTGAGAGGCAGGGAGAGGGGTGAGTGTGAGGTCAGGACCAGCAGTGACAGGCGCACTTCCCCCTCCCGGCCTCCCTCCCAGGGCCCCCCGCCCACCTCTCGCTCTCATCGGCTGCCTTCTCAGCCTCCTCCAGCTTTTGCAGGGCTGTCGCCAGGCGCTCCTGTGCCCGGTCCAACTCCTCCTCTACCAGTTGAATGCGACGGTTCAGGGAAGCCACATCTGCTTCAGCCTGTGGGTCAGAGGTCAGAGGTCAAAAGGCAATGTCTGCCTTGGTTGAGGATCAGAGAGGCTCCAGAGGATGGCAAGATTCTTCTCAGGAAGAA